ATTAAAAATTATTTATTGCAATTTTATCTTGAAAGACCGTTCAGTAGATCTACTCGATCATTTTTCGAGTTTTTCAAGTTAATACTCGCTTATTCTTTTCTCGAGGTTGATCTTATAACTAGAGCAACTTGACATTTAGCCAACTTGGATGATTTGAGTAGTCGAGTCGACTATGAAATTAACATGGTTACAATTGGAAATGGAAAATTTCTCGCGTTATCAATCAATTACAACCTGCGGAAGAACTGGGAATGGAACTTGATGTTGGAGAGACACTGTCCATATTTTGTCTAGTGATATGGGCAATAAATGAATCTAATTCAGCTTTAGATGTGCCGCCTTCCTCAGTCGACAGCCTAACAACAGCAGCTAATTCCTCAGCCTGTTTTCGTAGCGTATTTCCTTCTTCCGATGCCATTAATCTTCTCACAACATTCTCAATAGTGGAAGCTTTCATCAGTTCCTCCCTCTGTTCCCATTCCCTCACAATGAGACCTGTTTGAATTGAACATAAAATATAAATGAATAAATTTGTCTGCTCTGTAATATTTTATTTTAAGTTTTAAATATGATGGTTCGAGATACCTGTTTTCAGTATTTCTGTTATGAGCACAGAGTTTCTTGGTTGGTCAGAATGCATAGGCCAGGCTGCAATTGGCACTCCCATGCTAATGCTTTCTATGCATGAATTCCAGCCACAATGGCTCATGAATCCACCAGTTGATGGATGGGAAAGAATTTCTGGCTGTGGTGCCCAATCTCTTACCATCATTCCAAACTCTTTGACCCTTTCCTCGAACCCATCTGGTAATTCAGCTCGTCTAACTTCACCATCGAACACATTTCCTCTATCGGCGTCCCTCAGCACCCAAATGAACTTCTGTTTGCTCTTTTCTAATCCTATTGCCAGCTCTTTGATTTCTTCGTCTGAAAATGACGTCGTCGTCCCAAACGATACATAGATAACAGATTTTCGAGCTTGTTTGTCAAGCCACTCTAAACATTTGTGTTGGCTATTAGCAGATAAGGATTTTGATGGGAGAATTGGTCCTATTGCCCATAGTTTTCTTTTCTCGGCAACCTCTTCCCTTTCTAATAGATCAACAAAAGGCCCTTCTATGGCTCTGCAAGTATTGAATAAATATCCAGCTCTATATTTCAATGGCTCTTCCTGTAAAGCTAAAAATTCGAAGAAGTCCTCTGGAATACATCCTTCAAAAGAGGGTAAATGTTTTGGTTGTTCAATAGGGAATGGTTTTCCCAGGGATTCCCATAGAAAAAAGGAATGAAAATAAGCTGAAAGACAGTTGAAAACATAGGATTCTGCATTAGGAATGGAAGCAACATCCTGAACAACCGCAGCAATAAGAGGGTCATGAATAACGACAACTCTTTTTGCTTGCTTGGATATACGTTTTACGTATTCAGCCACCGGTTGGCGGATGCTCAACATGGCGTACCAGGCCGGCTGCAGCTGTGTTGGGAACTTATTAGTCGAGTTGGGATTCGGAGGAGGAGATTCAAAAGCAGGTGTTGGAAGATCGTGGAAATGGAGTTTGTCTAAATTTAGAGAGTTTAGGCCATTTGCACGGACTTTGGCTTGGCGGTTGTAGATGGCAGAACTGACATAGTGAACCGGGAGGCCATAGGAAGATACGAGGCAGGAGAGTTGCAGAAGCTGATTGAGGTGGCCCTGGGCTGGAAATGGCACCACTATTACTACAACTTGAGTTTGTTCCTTGCTGGTATGCTCATTGCTTTNNTCCTTGCTGGTATGCTCATTGCTTTTATGAATATCATTACAGCTTGCCATTAATTGATCTGCTTGAGCTAGTGTTGAGTTGGAGGCTATATTCTGGTACTGGGATTTTGAAGAGAGTGCTCAAGTTGAAAGGTTTAATGTCGGCTAGCAATGGTAATTCTTCTGAGGTGAATGAATCTTTACGTTGCTGAATCTTCTCGATCGTCTAGAAGCTTAAGCTTGTTAGAAAATGTAATTTAAGATGGTATCTGATCATACAAAACATGTAATTTTGTCAGGGCTTCATTATAATTTCCTTATTATTTGAATTCAAGATCAAACATTAATTTCGTGATTACTCCCTTCGTATAACCGGATATAATGAAACATGAACAAGCAAATCGGAATAGTTAGCCACTTGGGATAAATTACTATTGTTAAGGGTCTACATAATGCAGATGTGGCAATCATCCAGTGGTTGATGTATAAGTGTCATATTTGAATTAAAGGTGGGATCACATGCCACATATGCATTATGTAGACCCTTATGTAGATCCTTATGTACCCCTAGCATTGTCCTTGTTAAAATTGAACCCATATTGACAAATATTAAGTCTTCGTTTGGCTCTCATTAAAATTATAATTTATTTTTTTTGTTCGATCAATCACACATTCTCCAACAAGATAATATTATACGTAAATTTAAAATATTTTCTTCTTTTTTAATCACACATTTTTCAAAAAAAATATTATTCCAAAAATTATAATTTCAAATAATGGGGGCCAAACGGGAGCAAAACAAAGAACAAAAAACATTTTGTGCCCCTTAGATTAAAAGCAATGTTCGGGGAGAAGGCAGAAAAGAAGTTGTTTTCGCGGATTCGAAATGAAACGAATGTGTACGGTATTTGTTTTTTCACAGTATCCACGGCTAACTACTAGCGCTAGTGCCCAAACATGTTTTTTTACCTAATATAATAGAAACAAATGTCGAAGATATTTGTCTGTTGTCTAAAAATTTAAAAATTATATATTTATTTATTTAAACATTTTCCTTAGCACGCAAATTTGACTTCTTAACATACATGGGGGGTGGGCGGAGCAAACTTTTGGATTATTACCCCACGACTCTTAATATATTTGGCTGCTTGTTATGATCCACATTAAACCCTTGTTTGAGCCCATTATGAAGAAAAAATGTATTTTGAAATAATAATTTTTTAAAGAATATGTGGTTAAAAAATAAGAGAGTTGTTATGATCCACATTAAAATCCACCACTCTTAATATTATTTTATTGAAGAATGTTTAGTTGAAAATGAGTTTTGAAAAAAATGGATTTTTTGTAAGAATGGAACATTGACAAGGTCTAAGAAAAAAATTGATTCTATATTAAGATTTGAAGTGGTTGAAAGCATTTCACTATTCACTGCAGTCTACTATGGGCATTAAAGGAACGGGCTTTTCAATGATCAAGACTTGGATTACTTTTACAAATGTTGAGTATTTTTCAACAAAATTGATGATTGACTTGGCATACATTAGGCTCACAACAATAGATGCACAAGAAATAGCTTCCATTTAATTGCATTCCCATTTATTCTTTGGGATATTGCATGAACTAAGCCTATGTTCTTCTGAACTCATTTTTCTCCAAATTTATTTTCATTCACATATTCTTTGAATAAAATAATTTTGGACGCAAATCCATAACTTTTTTTTTTTTTACTTTTTAAATACACATTTTACTTTTCATAAAATCTATTTTCAATAATATTTACTGCTAAATTTGTCTCCTTGAATTCGAATGACACTTGTTAAGCCCCTGTTTGGTAGATATGAAAATTTAGATTTTAAATTAAGTCAAAATCAATAATTAATTTTAGTCACATATTTAATGAGATTCACAATTTTTAAACTACATATTATATCCATTTTTATTAAAATTTACTAAAAAATGATTTTAATCCTCCACCAAACATATGGAGTTAATTGTTTCAAAAATCACTCAACTTACACCATGGTCACGGACTGCTCACTGAACTTTAATTTGCTTCGCAATGCTCACTCAACTTTCGTCGTTTGCACTTCATCCATCATCATCAAACAAACCATTAACACGTCCGATGACGCGGCAGACCATGAAGTTTCATTATCGGACGAGGACCTAGATTTCAGTGATTCGGGAAACGAGTTAGACTCCGACGAGGATGACATTCTATATGAGAGGAATGTAACGGATGGGATAGAGTTAGGTTTAAATGTAGATGGGGTGGAGAATGTGGCACAAAATGAAATGTGGATGTGGATGATTTGGAGTATCCTTCTTCTGAAGAGCTTTAGTTAGATGGTGCATCAGATGACGAGGTTGGTTGTACGTTTTCGGAGTTTTCGGCTAACATAGACATGGTTAACCCACAGTTTGAATTTGGCCAGCTATTTAGGGATGTGGTGGAGTTCAAAAATGCAGTTAGAACTTATGGCGCCTTGAATGGGTACAATATGAGGTTTAAGGCCAATGATGATAGGCGCTCGCATGGGGAATATGCAAACATGGCTGCCCTTGGAGGATATGGGCTTCCAAACTAGGTGATACAGGCAACATCCAAGTGAAATCATATTCTCCTGAGCACACATGCAGTCACGACCAATACATTCTATACATTGACCTTGTTGTTGAGCTTTACATAAATTAATGAATGTTCAAAAGGTCATTTTCCACTATTACACTCGGAATGCTGTTTACTATTTCAGTTTCTTCATATTTTTTGTGTA